ACATGATGCCTAACCACAATTTACATAAAACACTGCTCTTTACATTTTCCCACGCAAATAACAAAATCAGAACCCTGTCTTTTAACGTGAACTGTTTCTGAAATTTTGGGATGCTCAAATTTCGCATATCGATGTACAGAATTCCTCTTTACATGCTAGATGATTCCTTTTCCATTGGTTGGCTAGGACTTGTTATTATTTTGGAGATGTGGAAGACACTTATCTTCCACATCTTCAGCTGGGGGATGTACGCAAAAATTATCCAACACAAGAATCATTTTTTCTTGTTTGTTAATAAACCCTTCACCCTCAAATACTCCTTCATAATAGATACAGGTATGCGAACAATGCATCTATGCGTTCTTCTGTGTCTGATAACGGATACACAAATTCTTCGTATTTTTAAAGCACCATAAATTGAGGTACTCGATTTTCACTGACAATCCCATTTTGTGAGTATCTGTAGCGTTTGCACATACCACAACAGTTAGACGGCTTTTATTCTGCTTAAGGCCATTTCGTCAAGGCTTTCATCGCACGAGCCAAAATTGATGTGAAAAGAAAACTCCACAGTAATTCAACCATATCGGCATTATGTATTTGTTCCCCGTCATCATATTATACTTATCCACTATTTTCTGAACTGCCTAAAATTTGTTTACTCACGATTCTCGGCTCTTCTCAAACCAGCAGAAGTATATAACCAAAGACTTCCCGGTCCTTCTTGAAAGGTAGTCGGAATTTAATAATGGCTTTTTCTTGTGTTTTGTAATTAGTATCTTAAGATATCAGTGTTGATAAATAAAAAAACTCTTGTTCCATTCTCAGATAATTCGGTATTATTTTCGACTATTTCCACATTCTGCCTCACAGCGCAAATCTTACATCATTTTACTGTGTATAGATTTTAAATTCTGTAACTTTTGGGTAATTTCCCTCCAAGATTACAAACTTGATGGAAATAGAAACGTCATGAGGTGGTGTAGTTAAAAGGTGTAATAAAAAAAAAATGTTTACAATAATGTACATACAAATGTTATTTAAACAATTTGCTTTTTGGAGGGGGGGGGGAAAGATACATGTGTCGAAGACAGGATTCTATTAATGTGAAGAATACAAGAGTTTCCAGCAAACATTTTCTGTGCAGTGATTATGAAGATGACATGAAAAATCGCTTGCTTGGATTGCCGCAAAAGAAACTTAAAATCCAATACTGTGAAAAGAAAATAATGCAGAGTGCTATACGAATTAAATTTGAAGAAAATTAATTTTGATATTGATTACGAAAATGATGATAGGAAAAATAAATCAAATACTAATGATTTTAAAATAGAATTCCCAAATGACGATGTAAATATTCCTGAATGCCCTAATTGTAAAAATAAACAAGAATGGATTGATAATTTGCAAAAAAGAAAGCTAGTTCAGCGTTTTACCTAATTTATTAATCGTATAAAAAGTCAAAGTAATTTTGCACGAGAAAGATCCCCCGCCTTTGCCCCTCTTTTGAAGTAAACAAAAGTTGTTTTTGTCGAAATTAAGACAGCGATCTTGTATTCATTTTAAATGTAACGCAAAGCTTAAATTGCACCCGACTCGAGTACTTCTTAGTTTGGGGGATAATTCATAATTCTGGCCTGAACGCAACGCAGCCCTAAATAAGAAGGCTTCGGCACTTTTATGTAATTGAAAACAATTTCAGCAGAAATTTGATTGATTTGTAACAAAATTAAAATTGCTTAATAAATTTTAATTTATCTCTTTACATTTTATTTAATTTTTTAATCATTAATTATTTAATTATTAATGGTTTTATTTATTTGTTTATTCTTGTTTCTCTTTCCTGACGGTCTTCCATACGGCTCCAGCCAAAGAATAGACTTTCTTTGGCTCCAGCACTCCTAATTTTAGAAATTAAGCCTTGATGTAATGCAATGTATGTGTATAAATATCAGTTAGGCAATTATTTTTACAGTATCGGTTATTATATCAAATCGGAAGAGAAAAACACCAATGTAAAATTTATAATTAAATCAAAAAAGCAATCTTAGATGAGATTACATTTTGAATAAAGCTATCGACTTCAAGGACAGTCAAACAAAATTTCCTCTTCTATAACTGCAAAAAAACAAATTGACTTTTATATTCAAAACTACGACAAACTAAGTTTTTTGGGGGGCATAACTTTAAAAAGCTGTTATTATAGTTATTACTTCCTGACAAAAGTACAAAGTAAAGGAAGTACTGTAATGTCGAAAAATTCCAGGGACCATACTTCAACGAAAATATGCATTTTGACTGCTACCGAATGCAATGTAATGATGTTTTTACGTGACATCTGTATACGTAAGGACAAAATAAAGGCCTCTTTGTCTCCAAACTAATTATAAAACTCATTTAAAATGGATTCAGTAGAGAGTTTTTTCGTGGCGTCTGTACGTACGTATGTATCTCGCATAACTCAAATACGAGTAGCCTCAGAACTGAGAAATTTTGCATATAGGAGTGCTATAAAATGTAGTTGTTTTTGGTTACAAACGACCGTACGAAAAGTATATAAATATATATACCCATTCTGTAACTAGGCTCAGTGAGCTCAGTTTTTTTCACTCTTATATGTTGGTAAATTGTGCACTTTTTGCTTTAAAAATGATTTGAATTATGTTGTTCTTATCTTCCGGTTCAGATTTTTATGCCTTTAGTTAAACTGCATGTATTAGTTGTAGAATTATCAATAATTGATTGAAGTAGAATTATCAACAATTCAAAAAATGATTGAATTATATTGTTTTTATCTTCCGGTTAATATTTTTATGCCTTTAGTTAACGTGCATGTTATAGTTGTAGAATTATAAAAAATTTAAAAGTTGTTTAAGTGTGGCCAAGCCTAATTTTTTGGTTTGGTGTCCTTTCAGTCAGTAGAATTTTATCCGTGAGGGAAAATAGTGGACTTTGAGTCGAAATATCTTTACCTCACACAGAGAGGGAAAATGAAGCAGGTTGCAAGTAAATAAACGCTCCCCACTTAGCCAAAACCTCGCAACTTTGCCCACCTTAATTCTTTCTTAAGTGCAATGTCTTTAACTGGCTCAAATTTGGCGACCGTTTGCCAAATTAGCATACTAATTAATAGCACTAACTTTCACAGAGCAGACTACTTAACGTTTTTTCCCCCGTTCAATCAAATTTTAAACAAAATTATTTAGCATACAATTTATTTCATCATGTTTAAGAACTAAGTACTGAAATAAAATTGGATTGGAAAGACTAAAAATGTTCTTTGTAATTCTGTCTTTTAAAAAAATCCAGACAAGTTAAGTTAAGGAAAACTAAAATGCGGGGATTTATAAATAATTCATTTCCTTAATTAGTATTAAAAGAGATTAGTTTATTCAGCTAGCTTGATATTTCTGTCTTTGACATACTATTAAAAAAAAGGGTAAGACAATGGTAAAGTTTTCATAGTTTATCCTTGAAGACGGCACTTTCATTTTAATTTAAGATTATTAAATTAAATTGAATTTCTTAGCAAAAAATATGAAAATCGTTTGACTGATATGTGTTACGACGTCTAATTGTTATTTAAAAAGGAAATGAATCAACAAGCTTAACATGTATGGCAATTGGCTGCATTCTGATCTTTTAGCTCACTCTCATATTTGATACTTCAGCATTAGGCACAGAAATTGCAATAAGCGTTAATGAATACTAGTTAGTATGGTAGTCTGTTAGACCCAAGCTTTATTTAATTTCTATTTATTTATTTTTTATATTTAACAACTTAAAAATATACAATACAAAATACACTAAAACATTTAAATATAACCAACATAATATACAATACATAATACACTAAAACTTTTAAACATACCTAACATAATAAGAACATACAATACAGAATACACTAAAATATTTAAGTATACGCAACATAATAATATACAGTAGATAATACATTGCAAACAGCTAAACATACAATCTTTATAACTGAATTTTAAAATAGCTTCATTTAGTTAAGCGCACTACATAACATAACTTTACTAAACAGTTGCAAATAGTTATACAATCAAAAGTCGTTATCCGGAAATGCGTTGAAGCATGCGCGTATTACCATTACACATGCGCATAATACATTTTACGCATGCATGTTTAATGTATAACGGACGGTATAAGCTAAGCTAAAATTACCTAATTATCTATTTCAGTTAATGTTGCAGATTGCGTTGTTCCTTAATCTTCGAATTGCATCCGGCTTATTATTTTTTTCAGACTGATAGAGCAATTTTATAAAAGTAAGCTTGAACTTTCGATTATGTCAAATAGAATTTCTAATGCTGGATCCTGCCAAAGGATCTACAAAGCTATAGAATGTTTCGATGTCCATCAAACAAAAAGTGGAATTGCTGCAAAAAAATGGATAAAGGCATATCCTTTGTTTCTCTAACCATTCCGAAATCTGTTTATCAATTTCACGCTGCTCTTCCGGGGAGGGGAACGTCGCGGCGCACAATGAACTGGAAGTTGATCTATCAGCACTATCCTTAACTTCAGGGCAGATGTTTTTTTTTATTCGCCTTATAATTCATTACTAAATGTAGTATTTCATCTCGATGTACTCTGTCTTTGATATGATTTAAATCAAATTCATTATAAATATCACGAATACACATCAAATAGTTTTCTGGTTGCAATTTTCTAATTTCGACTATGCGTAATGTATGCTTTGCGCATGCGCGTGTTGAAAGAAATGTTTAATAAAGTAAACAAATAAATATTAAGCTTTTTTATTTTTAAATTTTGATACCCTTTATATCATAATTGTTCTTTATTTCATAAATTATGGTTTCATATTTTAAATTTTATAATTTCTGCATGCCATCTTACCAGATTTAAACTGATGATCTATAATCCGGAATTGCCGTAGTTCCGACGAGTCCGGATTAAAGACTTTTGACTGTATTACCTTCAACGAAGCTTTGCACGGTAGTTTTGATAGCTTTATCTAATTTTATGTATTTTTGCATTTTTTTTTTTTTTTTTTTTTTTTTTTGGAGGAATATTCAGTTCTATTATATTTTGTAGCATGTCGTAATATTGTGCGTCATTCTTTAAATGCAAAATAAGTTTTAAGATGTTTGGGTGCAGTTTTCTAACACTTTTATTTAATTTGCTATGTCAACCTTCTAAAGCATTTGTTATTCTATGCCTTTCATTGTAACAATTCCACATATCTTTTATTATGTCATTATCGAACCACTGATCAACCATATAGTCATTAAAGTCTTGAATTTGCATATTTTGAGGAGGGTAATTTTCCATGATAAGCATCCGTGCATCATCGATGCTTTTAGGGGTCATGTTTGCCAAAGCAGCTCATATATGAACACACATTTTAATTTTCTCTATAACTGGAAATTAGACCTAGTCTCTGTACCTCCCTCCAGATACACTGATTGAAGTGAAAATTGCATCCTTTTATCATGGAGTAAGGAAATGTTTTTCGCAAAGCCAATGCCACCAATTCAAAGTTATCTGGTTTCCATGCAGGGAGTAAGTGGCGAAGAGCTGTAAGCATTTTTTCATACATAATTTCAGTTTTATCTCCTAAAAGTACATATACGGTAGGGTATATTGCATTGTCTTCAGCAATAATTCCAAGGTCCATGTGAATTGTATATATCTGCTTAATTTGTGGGCAGCAGCTCTTACAAGTTCTATCCCCAAAACAACATTTACTGTTGCCTAAACATCTCAAAGAATTTTGAGCCACAAAAATCAAAATTCCTCCATCTTCGTGTATTAAAAAATTAGCTTTGTATTCATTTGGACTTATAATTTCTTGTCTTCTTTGTGATGGAGAATAAACTTTTAACGCTTTGCGATGATTTTTATACAAAGAGAATTTAACAGTTTGAAATTCTGGAGTTTCTGATACAAAATGGAGATCCGCCTCAAACACTTGTTCTTTGTAGATCTGAAAAAAATTCTTTGTAAGTTTCTTTGTAGTTTTGAGTTTCTTTGTAGATCTGCGGAACATGTGTGCTAATTTGTTACGAGATCTCTTACGGCATTCAATTTTACATTTCTCTATTTCTATTAGTGCAACACTAGGAATGTATGAATGATCTTGTCTTTCATTTATCAGGTGATATCTTTTGACTGTCAACAAACTTCCATTGCATTTAGCATTTCTACATACCCTTATTATGGACCCATTTTTAACTCATATCTACCCTTTATATGCAACAGAAGGTCTTTCTTTATAAGTGTGCAGAATTTCTATTTTGTCCACTGGAATTACAAGTAACTTAGTGTCCAGTAAGGAGAGAAAAGATAAAGTGCATGCGCATTAGGTAAGCGGGCACTGAATCATCTGCGAAAAACATTCTTTTTTTACATCATTTTAGATTTATTAAAGTATTTGAAAAGAACATGCAGCAACGATTAGATAATTCTTCAGAGATATAATTTTTGTGCATTCTGAGTTATAAAATGAATGAGATGTAACGTTGTTAAGTGAACTTTGTGGCAGAGTGTCGCTATGGTAAATAAAAATAGTGAATTTTAAACAGTGCATTTATTCTAACGTGGTTTATGCACTATCGATATTATTCATTATTGCTAATCAATAATTATTCATTTTATTGTTAATCAATTTCAAATCTATGTGAATCTGCAGACATCGATCCTGAAATTTCTAGGCAATGAAATTACGATAAATAAGCGATTTTCATAATAAAGAAATTTGAATTTTCAAATTTTGTTTTATTTATTGAAAAACAGGAAGGGCAAAGAAGATTTTTTTTAAACCTATTATTCTTTTCTGTATGTATTTAGTTTTTTTTTTCAGTTAGTCTGATTTTAAATAGTCTGGGTAAATGGTGGACCAATTAGCCAGGCAAGGTTATTGCTGTATCTCAGTTTTAAGTGAATCTGTGTGAAAGATTTTTGTTTTCAATTTAAGTTTAAATAAAATCTTATTGTTAATCAATTTCAAATCTAAATGAATTTTATTTCAGCATTATCGGTTAATTTCATGCTTGAAAGAGTAGAGCAAAACTTACTTTTTATCTAACTCTTTAATTTCAAATTATAATTAATTTTAAACATGGTTAAATTCATCTAAATTGTATTTCATCATTGCTCCACTGCTCTACAGAAGCCAAGTTTAGCAAGTTTTTGCCAAATGTGTGTATGGATAACTTGGAGTCGGAATACTTGCACGTGTACCTTAAGTGAAAGGGGGGTTAGAATTTTCGGCTAAAAACTCACTATTTTCCTTCTCGGCTCAAAATCCACGAATAAAAAATGGACATCACCAATTTTTTTACCATAGCAGCCAAAGTTGTTTACATTTGAAACTTAGCAGAATAGTGGATTTGTTGCCAGCAACAACATAGTAATGTCTTTCTTTTTTCAATTTAAATCATGCTTAACCCATTCTAGAATTATCATTTAAATTTGTTAAATTATCCCATATATTGACTCAGCATAGCGTCCACAACAAATAAAATCAGTTTCTACGCCTTCAGTGTCTTATTGCTGGGTGAGACCAAAAGTAAACTTTCAGTTTTGTGCACTGAAAAATCTGCCTTCTTGCTTGTTTTTGCGTAGAAACTGTAATTCTAATTGTAAGAATTGTTTTTTTAATTGTTTTCACTGTATTTGGTGTTTTATCTTTTTCTATAACTTTCAATTTTTAATATAGATATTTTGAGTTTTTATGTATTTTTGCTTTGTTGCGAAGTGAGAACTGAATTAATTGAATGAGAAATATATCTCTAATGAAATTTAAGGAAATAAGTTTAAGCGAAATGCAGAAAAAAATGCATATAATTTAATATTCCATACAAGGTAGTCATGTAGCGTACACATCAGACTTTTTTTTAGAAAGAGTAATAGAATTTTCCCATTTAGTATGCAGATGAAGAAAAGATAATGAATGCCATAGTTTTTTTCCTTCAAGATTTATGTTTTTTTCCTTCATGATTTAATAACAAATGCAGAGGGATAAAACCTACAACTTTTAAGAAAACATAGCTTTATTTTATCTATTATTTTTTAATTAATAAATAAGTACTATTAACTTTTCAATGTAATATTAATGACATCTTCTCTTCTAAATCAAAGCTATTTGTTCACGCGCAGATTTTTTTTCAAACTTAAAATATTTATTTCTTATATCTTACTTGCTGCGAATTGCATCTATCAACCAATGCACAAAAATCGTAATTACTTGTCATGAGGAAAAAATGTGTAAATACACCATTCACTTAGTAATTATCATTATTTAATGAACATGTACTGCAGGTACAGAGAGCAAAATACTTATGTTAACAATAAACAATACCTTAAAATGGAAGGGCCATATAGATTCTATAAAAAATAAGGGAGAAAAGTAGTTAACATTGTTAACAACGTTCTGACAATTGGAAAGTATTTGGAAACTTATCTCAGGAAAAGAGATTTAATCTACACTAATTCATCAAATCATTAATGTATTATCTGCTAAGTGTACTGCAACAAAGAATGGCATAATAATATCACAGAAAACTGAAAACAAATACTTACGAATAATAAGAAATGCACATACATAATCAGCAGCTGCATGGAGATCAGCAGAATTTCACTAGAAGTTTTCTATACAAACATCTACAAAAAAGCACTTAATTGTGGACATCAAAATGCCTTTAATCTTTTCTATTACATAATAATAATAATAAATGAGGACAAACACCTTCAGCCTTCTGTGGCCTATCTTTTTTAAACAATGATTTTCTAACATAACCTGTAATACTGAACATTACTTGTATACACTCAAGAGCCAAAACATTATGACCACCTGTCAATAATGAGTTGGGCCACCTTTGGCGCGCAACACAGCTTCAACCCGCCTTGGCATGGATGCCACAAGTCCTTGATAGATGGCCGGAGACAGATTGTACCAGATGTTGTAGCAACGGTCACGCAAATCCGATATATTGCGCATTGGTGGTCTTTGAACTCTGAGCTGCTGTCCCATGACATCAAAGAGGAGATTTCACCTCTCTTTTACACAAAAGGCAAAAACCCAAACACCATTAAGTGGGTTCTCGAATGCTCCCCTCGTACTCTATCAAAATGTATTGAACGTAGGAAAATTATAATTAATTGGAGCATTCTCCCAATCGCAGAATTCTACGGAGTGAGGAGTGAGGAGATGATTTCTACAGATGCCAAGATTTCTCACATTCTGGTAGTGCATGCAAATTTAGGACTTATTGCGCTTTCTGTGGCGGACCTCACTCCATAAGGAATTGCAAAGAAGACGTACCGGATTGTATCAACTGTAAACTGTTTCAACTGCACATATGGAACCTACATCAATACTTCACATGCTGCATTCTCCCCCAAATGCCCATTATATCAGAGGGAATCTCAAAAATTAAAGCTGCTGCAGTTTACACATCAAAGCAAGAAGAAGTTAGCTTACTACCTAGTTTCTTTTAAGTTAACTTATACCTAGTTTCTTTTAAGTTACCCTAGTTTCTTTTTAGTTAAGTTTCTTTTAAAACTTCCCTTTCTGTACATGAATCCATCAAATACTACCGCCGCCCTTTCAATTCCCCAATCTCAACTGTTTACGACAATTTTACACAATAATTCGCCTCCACAGGACAAGCTTAGAATTCTTCAAATAAACTTAGGCAGAGGAAAAAAGGCGTCAGAACAACTTAGTGAAGTAATTGAAAATAACAATCATGATGTAATTTGCATTACTGAGCCGTATTGCGTAAAAGGTGAAGTTAGATGCCTTCCCCTTCACTGGCAAATATTTTTAATCTACCTGAAAAAGGATCCTCTAGTTAACCCACGTGCCAGTATTATAGTCACCAATACCAAATGGTCCCCTACAATTATATTAAGCCATAGAGATGTGATGACGATAAGTATTAATTGTAAATCAGAACAGCTATTAATTACTTCCATTTACTGCTCACCACGAGAGGATATGGGGCCGAATCTCCACACATTAGAAAATATCTTTAGTAATCTCAGAAGATCACAGCACGTGATTACAGGTGACTTCAATGCTCACCATCAAATGTGGCATTACAATAATACAGATAATAGAGGACATACACTAGCCGACTTTATTGCTACACACAATCTGTATATACATAACCTCTCTTCAGACACTCCTACATTTGAAACAACAAATGGTAAAGGATGGCCGGACTTGACACTGTCAACATTGAGTATCTCCAATAAAATACAAGAATGGAAAGTTCTTGATGATCCAATCCACTCAGATCATAACTACATTTCATTTGAATTATCAGAAGAAATCCCCGACCTCAAATTAAGAAGATTTTCAATCTCAAAGCAAAAAGCAAAGCAATTTGGAAGAAAAATCTCCACATGTCTTCAGTATGCGGAGAAACTTATAGATAAATGCACATCACCCGATGCAGTCCATGATTTAATGGAAACAATTATCAAAACAATACAGGAGACAGCGACCAACACATTTAAACTCCGTAACAACAACAAGATTACGAAGACTAACTGGTGGACAAAGGAATTAAGATGCGTGAAAAGCAACATACAAAGGGCCCTTCGTAGAAAAATGAAAAGTGCTCCGGAAGGGTTGAAAATGGAAATATGGATAAAATACAAGCAACAATTAGCAAATTACAAAAAGAAAATAACTGAAGCAAAATTACGCAGCTGGAAGAATTACTGCTGTAGTAATAAAGATACATACGGCCAGCTGTATAAAATGGCTACAAGTAAAGTTTTTAGTCCCGCACATATCGGTCTTTCGAGAGATCAACTCTCACATAACAGCCAGCTTGGTAATGCCACTGAAAAGATTCTCAACAATATTCTAGATGTTGTCTTCCTAAAAGATAACGCAGAAGATGATGGCCACTCACATTCCGATATTAGATACAATAATACCGCTCCAAATACGCCAGACGATGTGGAATTCCACTCACAAGAAATTTCAAAAATTATTAAGTATCTTCCGAATAATAAAGCTCCGGGACCTGACGGATTAGACAACAGGATTATTAAGATAATTCACCACGCAATGCCTTTTCTGTTCCACAAACTACTAAACCTCTGCCTCAAATTTTATGTCTTCCCGAATTGTCTCAAACAGGGACAAACAATACTATTCAAGAAAAATAA